TTGACACTCCGTTGTGGTGAATCACCCACAACCGCTCACAACTTGAGTTGGGTCATCCACAAGCTCTCCGGATGATCACCAAGCTCTCCAATCACCACCAAGCCATCTAGGTGATGGCAATCACCAAGAGTAACAAGCACGAACTCTCACTTGACCACGACAAGCCTAGGGAGAAAGATGGATGGACACTTTGCTACTCTTGATCTCTCTAATAAGGGCTATCTTTCGGATTCTCAAATCTCAATCACCTCACTAGGACCTTGCTCTTCTTGGCACTCTCTAAGGTGTGTTTCAGCTGTTGGAATGAGTAAAAGTAACTCCACACACGAGTGGAGCTTCTATTTATAACAAGGGCTGAAAAACGAACCGTTATGTGCCTCTGCGGGGTGACCGGACGCTCCGGTCATGTTGACCGGACGCTCCGGTCAGTTCAACCCACACACCAGTGTTTAAGTGTTGACCGGACGCTGGCAGGGTCCGATCACCACTGACTGGACGCGTCTGGTCGCAAATATCCCTCACTGGAACCTTACTGGAGTCGACCGGACGCTGGTCTTCAGCGTCCGGTCACTCGACCACTCAACGTCCGGTCGCGCCAGACGTAATTTCCTTGGTCAAATGAACTGACTGGACCCTGCGGCCAGCGTCCGGTCAGTATTTGACCCTCCATTCACTTCCAACTCTCGATCATATGTGAATGAAGTTTGCTCCATAGGATCTAAGGGCTTTGTTGGAGCTACCTAGTGCTAGACTTAGCAAGTGTGTACTACACCTAACTCACTAGACTCACCTAGGTTAAGCTACCCATCCATACCCCCTTAATAGTACGGCCAATGGAAAAACAAAGTCCTAAACTACTCTAAGTGTCTCTCCAACTCCAATCGACACTTAGAACTAGTCATCCTTAACCTTGTCGTCTATCCTTTGAAAACCGAAACGATTTCCATCGTAGGAGCATGACATCCATGATTGCCCAATCGATCTCCATTACCATGACCTAACTTAATTGCCTCTGCAAAACACACGTTAGTCATAGTAATCTTGTATTGTCATTAATCACCGAAACCCAACTAGGGGCCTAGATGCTTTCAACCACGCTACCACCACCCGGCACCACTAGGAGAAGGTCTCCGCTGGCCGAAGACACCACGACAGGAAGCCGTGCCACCACCGACCCGAGCTTCGTGCCGCAACAGGCTATGGCGCCGGCGATGCCTTGTTTCAATTTAGATGTTTTAGACGTATGTTTCAAGTGTTTCATAGATGTTGCATATGTAGCAGTGGCTATAAACGCATGTTGCAAGCGTATATTTGATGTTGCAAGTATATGTTTCAAGTGCTTCATCTAAATGTTGCAAAAGTAGATTTTGATGTTGCATATACATTCATGTTGCAAGCGTATGTTTCAAGTGTTTCATATGTATATGTTGCAAATATTTCATCTGAATGTTGCAAAAGTAGATCTGGATGTTGCATATGTTTGCAATGGCTACACACGTGTGTTCAAGTGTTTGTAAGCGTTTTAGGCGTATGTTGCAAGTGTTTCATCTGGATATTGCAAAAGTAGATCTAGTGTTGCACATGTTACAATGACGCCGACGACTAGTGCACGGGGCGCGATGGGATTTGGTGCGGACCTCAACGGAAGAGCAGCCGTCCAGGGACGCAAAGAAGGCATCGGGCGCAGCGGCTTGCTGCAGCTGCTGGTGCGCAGTTGTGGGTCACCATGTGGGAGCCTGGGGCCGGCGGACGCATCCATGGCGTGCATCCACAGGCAGGACAAGTGACTGGGATTTCACGTGGTTTCCCGCGTGCTGGCGCGGCGGTCTGGGTGGGAAGCAGCGTGGGCAGCGGGGCACGATTCCCACGTGCGCGCGAAACAGATTGAGCACGACGATCTGGGCGGGAAGCAACGTGGGGTCCATGCGGTGGGGCGCAAAAACAAGCAGCGCGGTCTCCTTTCACGTGCGGTGCGGTCTCCCGCCTATTAGCGCGAGCCACGTCCGGATGCCTAGACGATAGTTGTTTCGATTGGAAAATCGTAGATAGATAGATACTCCCTCCATACTAAAAAATAAAGTCATTTTGGACAGCGACAAGGTCTCCAAAGCATAACTTTGACTACTTATTTTTATAAAGATATTTATCAAAAAGTGATATATGTAAATTTTTGTGAAAGTATTTTTCAAGACAAATCTATACATATGGTTTTCACATTTTCAAACTCAACAACTTAAAAATTATTCATGATTTATATTTCTAATATTTGACCCAAACCTTGTCCAAAACGACTCCATTTTTAAGTACGGAGGGAGTACAACGTCAGACACCGAACTTCCATTTCATCATGCTCTTAACCTAATTTTTCTGCTCGTTCTACTTTCATATGCTCTTTAACCTAATTTTTCTGTTCGTTTTACTTTCGTATATGTACCGACGCAATTAGCTTAGCTGCCGCATGCGTTGTTTGTTCGGTGTATCGTCCTTTGACTAGGTTTTTGAACTAATTATTAGGTGCCATAGATGTTTGATTTCGAACGAAGGGAGCATTATTTGGAGAGAAGTCCGGACCCGGCGTTCTTGTTTTGGTTTGATGCATAGTAGAGGCAACTATTCAAGCATTGGCAGCGTGTTCGAGCAGGCCGGGTGGCCGCCAGCGGCTGCCGCACGGCAGCTGTGAGGCTCAAGTCAGCGCGCCGTATCGGCCTAGTCTCAGCGAACCGGCCCCAGAACGATAGCGTGCGTCGCAGCCTTGCGTTCCGCCCAAACCAAACAAAAACAAACGTAATCAAGTTTAAGTCGTTATCTGATCATTGCGTACCAGTAAATCCACTGAACCAAACAGTCAACATCGATCCATGATGCCTTTCGTATCCATGCAGATCAAAGATGCAGTTTAAAATGAAAACACCCAAAAAAAAAAAAAAACACCGTCTGGATAAACTTAACATTAGGATTTGAAGAACAAGGCAGGCACCAAGGTTCAAGCCACGATTTGCTCAATTACACAGCTCGACAAGAACAGGTACGGGCATAAGAATGTTTTCTTGGACAACATTTATTTTAAGTCTATCAGCAGCTTCAGATGTAAAAGACGAACTGCAACAGTTCCAAGTTACTTCTTTCAATTCAATGGAAGGATCAGATCACCTGCGCAACGATAAGAAAAGACTGATATAGTTACTCATGCAGTTCAATACACAATGCTTTTTTTTTAAACGTTGCTTGACTATTCCATAATTAATTTCTAGAGATACACAAGGATTGTGATGATACATAGAACAGAGGAACCAACATGAGAGAAGACAGGAATGATTATGCATACCCATGAAATGTGCAATGAAGTAAAACAAACAAGAAAAAGAACCTGTTTCAATGAAATATTGCAATCTGGAACTAAGAAATAATATGTGAACAAATACAGACAACAGAGCTATATCCAATATTCCGCAATTGTTGTGACTTGTGAGAATAGTAATATCTTCTTTTCTTTTCATCAGTGTGAGAACATTACAGAAGATAGAGTGATGGAAAATGATGTCCATATTAAAATTAATAATTTTTTATACTATTCATACCAAACCCAAGAATCAAGCAAACACTACATAAAATGATACAAAGATGCTCTTCATTATTCCCCCGAAAAAACCATGTTATCTAGGCAGCATGCATAGACTTTGGAGCTGTATGAATGTATGATGTTTTCCAGTCTTTTTCAGATATTCACAAGTAGTAGTGAGTATGGTTTCAGCCATTCAATTTGTCCTTAGCTCCAATCACCAGTTCAAAACTGGTACTATAGAATTAGTTTTAACAAATCTTTAGATACTCTTCATACAGCACGACTCTGAAGGCCCAGAGTCTTTCATAGTTTCATGTCATCATTGTTCTAGGCTTAATTAGTAGGGAGGTAACAGAGGTGATTTCAGAGGGACATACTGGATCAGACTTTGGTCGCAGCTGTCTAAAGAGAAAGAGGGAAGACAAATGAAGGAAGGTTGTCATTTACTGGAAGTTTTGATGTTGGAAGTCTTCAGAAAGCGTTGGTGGAAACATCTAAAGAGGATTAAAACTTAAGGGTTATTGTTTTAGTATCAGCTCTTAGAGGAGCTGTTCTGTATTCTTAGTTTCAGCTGTTCTGGATTGTGTAACCGGTTTTCGGTTTGGCCTCAGTGCTGTTTCCGTATCGTGTGGCTATACACATTCACCTGTTGAATGTTGGAGGCCGGATATTTTCTTCCTTAATCTAAAAAAAAATAGTAGGGAGGTAACCTGGATACTTAATATCCTCTATTTTGTTGCATAAGAGTAAAGATGTTTAAGTTAAACCAGCACAAATAGTAAGTCAAGACAGGCTCTAAACCTCTCATAAGAATCTAATGAAAACAGGTATATAGAAAGTAACTTAAGATCGGAAATTCAACAGATGGAATTACTAGTTGACTGCTACCACTATTAATGGGTACAACCAAGAAATTAGATTTTTAACTCAGCTGTTTGACACATAACCTGGGGTCCTGGGCCCAGGCATGCAACACCTAACAGGCTAACAACACTGCTGCCATCACATGTATCCAGTTCCCTTCACAATGCAAGTCTATGTAACATGATGATAGCACAACCAATTTGCTAGAGGACATGAGGATTCATGCTCAGCAAGAGAAAATCCTTACAAATACGTAAAAGGAAAAGGCAGTTCACATACAGAGACAACTGAAAATCTTCCTGTATTTATCGTTGCCAGTTTAGCTTTCATTCTATTATACTGCATTCTCTACTTCCGGTTATCCCTTCCAGGTGACTACTGCAGAGTGATCACAATGTATTTGCAGCATCACAAATGACTTTGGAATTAATTTCGGTTTCCACCACAGATTGATTATCGCACAACATTCATAGAATAGAAAGGAAAACATTGCATTTGAAGCTGCGCTTAGTTTCAGCAGGCCTCACCTCTCCGATCCAGGAACAGCAGCACGAGAAGCCGAGCAGCAGCGCCGCTACTCCGCCTCGACGGTCTTCTTTGGCTCTGCGAACAAGAGAAGAAGCAACAACCAAATAAACCAATCGATCATGGCGATCAAAGGGTAAGACGAGACATGAAGGGATTCGGACCGTGGAACTCGGGCGGGCGAGCATCCTTGCCCCAACCCACGCCGCGGGTAGACTCTAGGTACTGGTCGACGAGGTGGCGGCACTTCTGGTGGTGGTTGATGCCCTCGATGCGGTAGCACCAGCGGAGGCGCTCCCGGATGATCTTGGCAGTCTCGATCTGGATCCACTTCTCCCGCACCAGGTGTTCCCGGTACTCCAGCATCGCCACCGGGTCCCCATACGGGTTCTTCGGGTCGAAGTTATCCGGCGGCTGCTCGTCGAACTCAACCTTCGCCTTGCGCACCATCTTCTCCGATCGCCGCCGCCGCCGCTCGCTCGCTCGGTCCTTCGATTGGGTGAGGGATGGGATAGGTGTGCTCCGCTCGGTCGGATGGGAGACGAAGCTGATGGGGTCGATGAGTCCATTATGCGAACCAGGCCTGTGGGCTGTTACTGACCATTGTCAGCCCAACAGAATGGCTAGAGTCGGCCCAACAGAATGAAGCGTAGGTGGGCCCAAGAGACCAAGCTTCTGTCGCCGACTCCCCGTTTCCCTCCCCAAATCGGCAGGCGGAAGCACCGGTTCACCCAGGCGGATAGGGCGGATCCGAGAGGAGCCGGCGCGATGAGCTCCCCGGCGAGGTCGACCGTCTCGGCGGCGAGTGGGGGAGCCGTCTCGGCCGCCGAAGACGTCGCCGATTCCATCGACGCGCTCTACCGCAAGGACGAGGCCATGGCTGGTGATACGCCTCTCTCCTTCGTGCAAGCCGGAAGCCCTGGCAGGTGAATGCCTCAGAGAGTCAGAGTGACTGACCGATTGGATTGGCCTTGCAGAGATCAAGTCTGAGGTGATGGAGGCGCTGCAGAGGGAGGTGAGGTCGCTCGACGACGACAGCTGGATGTTCGCCGCGCCCCGGTCCCGCATCAACCTCCAGCCCGTTCGGCAGGGCTGAATTGGCTGGCTGGTGCTGGGGCTGGACCAGCCAGCCAATGCCAGCCTCCAGCCGTGGCCAGCAGCCTCCAGCAGACACCAGCTGGTTTGCAGACATTCAAAAAATGGCGCCAATCAATTGTAGCTTATGCTGATTTAAAATTTTCAAATTCAAACTACCATGCATTTGTACATCATGCTGTTTTACAGTTTCAACCACGAATTTGAGCCAATAATTTACAGTTTACAACTCAAGCGCTGGAACAGTTAGTCACGTAATGCGGCTACACGCCCGGATCAACCCAATGTTCAGCATCATCTTGATGGCGGCTTCTGCCTCAGTGTACAATTTAGCCTCCGTGTATGCTCTGATCAGCGCGAGATAGGAGAACGAGTCGGCAAACATGCCCGATCCCCGCATCTCTGGAATATGCATTTCGCCTCGCTATATCTGATCCTAAAGTGGCATAGGCATTGATCTTGAATTTGCTTCGATCTCGCACATTGTAAGTTCGGTCCAGATTAGCACTGTGATTGGATCGCAACTAAAAGATGTTCTCCCAAAAACTGATTCCAAGAAATTTTTATTGTTGCATACGTCAATGATGAATAGTGAAGATCCAAAATGTTAGGTTTCGTCCATTACACAACTTGTGCACCAACCAATCCATGTACAAAAAGTACACGGCAAAAGCGCAGGATCTCATTAAGCAACCGGGAATTGGGATAGATGAAGCCCGTAAACAAATTAGATGTTGCAATGAATAAAGGCATGGACTACTCGATACAAAGAAAATTAGCAAGAGGTAGTTAAGATTGTTTTCATGAACATAGATATCATGACGCAAGTAAACATAATACAAGATTGATTTTAGTATTTCATTAGCTCAGAGTGACAGACGGGGAATCGAAGTATGTATCCATTTAAACAAGAAATGCAACCAAAACAAGCAAATGTTGGATAAAAACAAAGTTTTAAATCTCCGGCTAAAGTTTTATATCATTCAAAGATTTCACAAGCTCCTCAAGATCCGATTGTATCTTATTAGCCCGCTCCTATAAGCAGATGGCCAAGGAGATCGGACAAATGATGTAAAGCATGATGCAATGAAATATATTGGATGAACAAAAAATACAAACTGAAGCTTCTCATCACTTTCATCGCCTTTTTTTTAAAGCTTAACTATGGCGTTATAAATTTCCAACTTCTTCTCCCGCAAACATACAAAATAATAATAATATGCTCACAAACCAGATCTCGATGATGAAGTTGCCAAGATTCTAATACTGATCCACAAATATACCGGATCTCACGGAAAGTAGCCTCATCCATTGTTAGCTTTGATGCCACATCTCCAACCTTCTTGCATCTCTCATCATATTTTGCGAAAGAGATTGGACCTAAATATAGAATTGATAGTCGTGAGATTCATATAATACAAAGATTAGAACAAAGATTGGCCAATCTTACATGCCATCATACAAGGGACTTCATAGGACATTAGTCAAATTGTAACACAAATTATAATGCCAGTTAATGATTGCTAGACTCATCCATTGTTAGCTTTCATGATTGCTAGACTCGGTCACTCTTGATTGAACCGATCTGTAATGAAAATCTGCAATCTCTATATTGAAAGAGATGATGACAACCATTTAACATATCGAAGACTCAACATAACATATGCACCTTAGGCGACACGTAGCACATGTCACTTCATCTCCTTTATATACACTAGGAAGGGCAAAGAAAAGCACCTTGCATTGGTGCCAAGCAAATTGTTCTCGAACAAAGAAGATGGCAAGGTCACCATGTAAATAAAATGGATGTTCATGGAAGTTACTACTAATATTGAAAGTTTACCTAGCAAGAAAGCAGCAGCATGACGTGGTGAGTTCATTTGCTCCAAGCACGAAGCACGTCTTCTTCCGTCTTCTGCAAAGAGGAAACTCAAATTACCTCTGGTTCAATCATCCATATGAACAAATACAAAACCAAAATGATGAAATCATATACCGAGGAACAGTAATCCTTGAGTAGCAACTAAACAAAGACAGAGTATTACATCACAAAGACCAAACAAAGACAGAACGTGGCATGGTCATTCACGTAAACAATGTAGCTACTACTATGAAATCATACATCACAACACCAATGGGTACATAACTTGGCACTTGTAGTTCTGTCACTACAATTACATCATACATCAACAAACACAATATGATAGTCCCATAAACGCGTTTTTTTCAAACGAACTCGGCCCCACACAACCTTACAGATGCACACGACACAAGACTGCTAAGGAATTGTACCTACACCATTGGTTTGTGAAACAACATCCTTGGCCTACATCGGACAACACTCCACACCGCCATGGATATTAACTCCCTAAGTCCAGAGATAGGGGTTCCCGATTTAGTTCAACCCAATCCGCACCTCATAGGAGGGTGGATCTGCGCTGCATTTACGCATCCACAAAAATTATCTAAAGCAAAGCATGAAATGATTATCATAGCTCGCTTCATCCTACTGAAGAGGGCACCCCATCAAGAATCGCCAACGTTCTTTCAACACCCCAAACCTCCTTTCAATTACATTCCGCAATCTAGCATGAATGTAGTTGAATTTCTCCTCCCTCTCGCAATTCTTTGCATATCTATGCCTCTAAAGTCATTGATGTGATACCTTGTGTTTTTGTAGGGGTCATGTAGCCTTCCATCTCCTTGTAACCGCAAGCGTCCGCTAGGTAGTACCGGCCTATCATAGCAAAGTGACAAACCGATGGCTTAGCAAATTAACCACAAGTATGCTTCAATGCATGTACTACAAGGAAACTAATAGGGTATGCGAACAAAGAAGGCATCACGAACCTTCGGGGATGTGGGAACGAAGCGTCGTCCGACAGATCTTTCAACACCGCCATGTCATGACATGCCCCCGCCTTCCCAAAGCCCCACATATGTGAAACGGCCATCCATATCCACGATGGCACAAACATTAATTGTTGTTTCGCCTTTCCTATTGTAGAAATCAGCCTTTGCTTGACGGTTAACCTCAACCTTTATGTGCGTGCCATCTATAGCACCTATGCAAACCATCAAACCATGGTGAATGTGCAAAGAAGGTTGTGGCTTACGCGTATGTAGTTCCTATCTCTTTGGGACTAAGACCGATTTGCCCTTTGGTACATTACCTCGCAACTAGTGTAATCTTCCGCTAAGCTGTATCTAAAGACCTTTCGAACCTATACTTTGCACCGTCTACTAGCCGATTGGTGGGCACATGTCGAGATGTACATGCCTAAAGCTTCTATCGAGGGCACTTATACGTTGTTGGCAGCCCAAACGGAAGGTGGTTTCATGCAAATGCATGAAGTCATCACGCCGACATGCGCAAATTCTCTAAACATCCGGTATTTTCGGCTAGTGTAAAGCTGCATCCTTTGGGCTCCCGTTAGCTTAGGAATGGGGCAAGGAGGATTTACCTCGGGCCTTTTTCTTTGTGATGAGAAAGCCCTTTCAGGAGGACAAATGTTGCCTTTGCCACATACCACATTGCTCGGTCCATCACTGGATGTGTCGCTGTAGGAGGACTCGTCAGTGCTGCTCATGCTGCTCATGCTGCTCCCTGCAATTGGGCATACATAAGACAGATTGTAATGCCGATATTAGGAACAACACAAGTGCAAATAAATGAACATATGATGATACTCGAACTCGGTACCACCTTCAAAACAGTTGGAACGTACATGGGAAAAGTACACTAATTTTTTATTGAAACACTCACAAAGGTACACTAATTTGTTACAAAGACTCTTTTTTGTTTACAACACTCACACCAAGACACTAATTTTTTATTCAAAAACGAGACAACGATGTGCACTTAGTTCTCAACAATAGTCTTTGCTAATACTGAAAAAACGAACATAAGGATACAACAAACCAAATGAACTCAACATGCACATGGTGAATATCCCATAACAAAGCGAAAAAAAAGGAATGCTGTTGATCGGTGGGACTTGTTGGAGCACACAAAGGCCCATGTCACTTTGATCCATTCACCGCCCTCTTTGGACTCCATGTCTAGAAAAACACCGCAATCGAGCCTATCTCGCAAAGGTTCGTGGCTTGCACGAATACTTCATCACCTCGCTAATACCATCTTGCAAAGCAGAATGTTTCGGACTTGGGCCAATTCTCGCAAGATCGGTTTTGTGGACGGGCCTTACGGGACCTAGCCTCTCTCGAGAAAGTGGCCGAGGTCTTCAAGGCACTCTTCTGAGATGGAGTTTGGCTACTCTTCTTGCTACGAGGACTGTTTCATTGAAAACTCTCTATGGACTCTCTTCGAGGGTGATGAGTACTAGGTGGCTCGAGTGGTGGTCCGATAAGGATGGAGGAGTGCGAGGGCTTCCATTACTAGGTGACTTGTCGGTCGGTGGCCCCCCCGCCGATACCAATCGCCCCTCATCACGAGGGTGCGTCCCAAAATTGTGATCGGTTGCTCACAAGATTGGGGCCGTTTGAACTTGTTTCTAGCGGGTTGGCTACTTTTCCCGCACGTGTTGCGTTGATGTCGAGTTAGTATTGAGTTAGTACGAACCTAATTGCTACAAAATATTCAAAAAAAAAAATGCGTGTAGTTAGTACCCGGGTCTGGCGCCCGTACAACTCGTGGTGGTTGTAACTCTCCGGTCGGTGGTCACGGCCGAGCCCAGATGGAGTCGGCCGTCGCGCCAGTTGAAGTAACAACGTTTCAGTTCATTGTACTTGTTCTGGCACACTTTCTTGTTGTACCCAAGGTCCGTGACTTTGTTGAAGTCATGAGTGATATTGGTCCACCCTAGTTGGGTTGGACCGTTGGCAGGGGTCCAATGACAGAGCTCTTTCTGCTGGATGATTAGGTCAAGAAGCAGAGAGGTTGCTCTGTCATCCCAGACAGCACGATCCTGGCTCATCTGATTCAAGGATTGACAAAGCTATTAGTAATGCAGCAGTCGCAAAATCTGCAAGAATAGATGT